AGTTATTTCTTAATTAAAAGGCAGTAGAGATGGCAGAGTTAATTAAAAGCTAAGCTTTTGCAAAGTTGTCAACAGTTCAAACAAAAATCTAGTTTGGATTTTTTACAAAAGAAGCTTAATATCTATTGTACAAATAATAATACTCAGACAATATTGGGATAGAAAGCATTAATTGAGGTATTGCATCATTGATCTTAATGCTATATCAGTTCTTTAAACTGTTGTGAATATAAAAACAAAGTATCTTGCATTTCAAAAATTAACTAAAAAGGTGATTTTTACATTTTCCTTGGTTAATTTATATTTTCTTTTTCTGTGGCAATCTGTTTTCATAGAATTTAATTGTTTCATATACAGAGTTAAGACTTGATACAAACTTTGTGATGTCATCAGAAAAATCATGAGCTGATTTTAATGGCATTGTTCTGGTACCACGAATATGAATCATGTAGCCTTTCCATATATAATACACTTCAAAATCATCTAATCTCTGGGTTGAATTATGAAATATTCAATAAGAGGCTTCAAAAACATACCAGGACTCTTTCATAAAATTAATGCCTGACTTCAAAAAGTTTGCACTCTCTGGAAGAGACAACGTGCACAAATACAAAAGCAAAATAAATAACTGGACAAGCGAAAGAAGCCAAATGCACAGAAAGCGCTGAGTGTCGGCTGAAAGACGGGAAAATGCACCCATTGAGACAAGATTTGAAGTCTTCAGTGTGTGAGCTCCCTGACTGGATGTGGGGTCCTCAGAAGTTTCTATAACTTCTATGGACTCCTTCTTTATTCTTATGTAATCCACATTCTTTTTAATATAAAAAGACTCAGGATTTCTACTTTCTAGTGTTCCTGATGGTCTCCACACTCACTAATTCTAATTTGTTCACTTGATATTCTCCAGAGCAACACTTGACTTGTATCCAAGTAAGGAAAAGAGGCAAATAAGTATGATTAATCATGGACAACTTAAGACTTAAAATTAACAGGGGATGTTTGTCTAAAAATAGCATATAAGATTATAGAAAACCCAGAAATTTATGAAAATAACGAAGCCACAGGATATGGAGCATGCATTTTCTTTTTGACCAGTCAAATGTGTGGTAACAATGTCTTTAAAGTGTTGGATGATAAATAAAGTTGGGTTGAATTAGATAATTTGGGGCATTTTTGAACCCCATAAGCAAGAGTAAATACCAAGGCTGTCAAGTTACGTACATAACAACTCAGTAAATGAACGAAAAGTCAAGTGAAATAAAAAGGAAGCATTATAAAGAAGGCAGTGTAATATTTCAGCAAGGAGTAAAGGCTCTAACATGTGGTGCATTTTTATTTAAATTCTATCTCTACTACCTACCAAGTGTACTATGTTGAACTTCAATTGTTATTTGTAATATTGAAATAAAATTTTCAGTGTTCTTATGGTGATTAAATTTTGAAATATTTGAAAAGTGCCAAGTATAGTATTAATTGACTTTAGTGTGTGGATAGATTTTAGAAATTATTCTCTGTATTTAAGTATCACATTTTAATAATAATATAAATTTTTCTAATAATGTCTTGGTTACAAATCAAAAAATATTTTTGAGAATAATGAGATTTTCTTGACTACAGTATGGGGATGGCTATTGCTCTCATCAAAACTTTTATAATTTCCACCTCATAAAAATTAATATTTCAGCTAAATTAAAATATGGGAACATTTTAAGCTTAAATATTTTTTCTAAAAAAAAATAAAAAAAAAAACCCCAACATTTTAGTTATGTGCTGTGCAAATCTTTAAGATGAAAAAAAAGACAAAGCATGAAGATGTATACCCACCCCACCCCACCTCATCAGATGCTAAGCCTTAGCTATGGCATTAACCAAATTTAAAAAGATTAATTTATTTTCATTGTGCCATATAGACTGGTCTTATATTTAATTTCCTTGCTCTTTATCATCTGTCTAAAAAAGAAAAAAAATTACCAACACAAATTTAACCGTGTTTGTTCAGCTGTCATCTGAAGTCTTTTCAACAATGAAAATAAAAGTTCATACAACATATCAAAACCCATATTCTATAATTTGAATGAATGAACAAGTATTTATTGAAGACTTTTATTTGATTGCTACTGCCAGCTTCTGGGCATTCAAAAGTGAATTTAATAGTGGGAGAGACAGGGAAGCAGAGAGAAAGAAAAACTCTCCTCCTGGTATATTCTACAACATGCAGCTAAAAGCCACGTTTCAAACTCTTCTTCTTATGTATCCCAAATAGCAAATCCTTCTACGACCAATGGTGATGATCACTTACCTTTTTAAGCTGGGAGTTAAGCAGCTAATTTCCTCCTGTATTTAAGGACAATATAAAAGTTTCACCAATTTGCATATCTTTGTGCCTCTTTTATAAAACAAAAGCAGAACTGAAAGCCTATGTACATATCAGTACATTTTATTATGGGTTTGAGTTTTTCGGCCATTATATTGGTTTTGCACTATAAATGTACTGTAATGCCAATTACAGAAGGGCCCTTTGAAGATGAAAAAACACACAACATTTGGAGAAACATTTAAAAACTTCAATCACTTGAGAAACAATACAAATTTAGCAGCACAGGGAGTAAAATATTACATCTGGAAAATTTTTTAAAAATCAGTTTGAGCTAAGTTTTTAAAGACATAATTATTTAATGGTAAATATATACATTTACCTGGAATATTACCTACTAATTAAATTTTATAGAGTAGAAATGAATCTTTCAGGAGTAATAAGCTAAGCAACTATTTTAAACATCAGGTATTTGCTAAAAATAACAGTATTAAATTTTAGATCATTTGTCTACAGTCTAATTATTTTGTATTTTGTTATCTGTAACAAACAGTGAATAATTGTGGGAAAAATGAAGACTGAATCATTGTTGAATTTTGGTCCACTAAAAAATATCAAAATTCTTTTAATTCTATGCTATTTACTAGAGCAAGAAAGTGAGTAAGAAACATTTGGAAAGATTGCCATCAACATGTAAAACCCAACTATCATTTTTCCAACTTTGAACTGTTGTTACATGTAAACAAACTGAAATATTGCAACATGAACCCATGTGAGATCAAACCAGTATCAATGATAGCAGGAATAAATTTATTTAGTAACCTATAGTTTGAAATATCTTATACGTCCTTTCTTCTTATTTAATCACAGAGTCCTATAGTTCAACAAATGTTTGCCCTACTTCACCTCTGTCCCAGTCACCATACGGAAGAGTAGAGATACAAAGACAAATAAAATAATGTAAAGTCTATCACTGTGATATTACAATGAATGGTCTTCCTGTGTAGGCAAACAGATAAATCAGTCATTCCACTGTGACATGTGAAACATTCACATCAAATATATCTTGACTTCCTTATGTCTAAAAAAATGACAAGTCAATTTCATGCAATGTAGCTAACAGCAGTCATGTCGCAGTGGTTTCACAATATGTGTGAGTATATTTTATAGCATGGGATTAGGTATTCGATTGTTTCATTCACACTGAAATCTGATTTAAAATCTCAATCTCTAGAAATCTGAACTGATCTCATAAACTCCTGTCACTTACTTTAGAATGTGAGTTCCCAGAAATATATTCAAGCTATATTAATAGAAAATTATTTAACATAGAGGCTTTGAGAGTACATTTTTGGTAGAATTGTGAAAGAATGTTAAGAGATACTGATAAATGAATATCAACCAAAAGATCTTAGATGTATGATAACTGAGACAACTAAATAAGTTCATTGGAAAATCATGATCCAACTCATGAAATTCTTTTATTTGTGCTATCCTTAAACACTTCTATTGGAAAATATAATAAACACATTGTCTAAAAAGTTCACATGATCATGAAGGGAACACTAATCTTGCAGTTTGGTCCCATTAAATATTTTTTCTTTAGTAATCAACTCATCATATATTTTCTTCTGTTGTTTTTTGTCTGTTTTATCTTTTCTCCAGGTAGCTATTTTGACAAATAGCAGGAGCACACACATACACAGAGAGAGTTTGGTTTTTTAAAGGGAATATATAATGATTATAAGCACTTTTTAGTCTATTGAGTAGAGTGTATTTTCTCTGCTGTGGAATATCAGTATTTCTTCCTCATTGAAGAAAGTCTTTAGGGAAGTGTTTGGAGTGATGTAAGAAGATGACATTTATATCACTCAGAAGACTTATTAGAAAACTGGGATTATAAATAACTGATAATAGTAATTGGAGAGAAGTCAATAAAATAGTAGTTGTAGTGCTTTTAACAGTTGTGCAAAAATCAGCATTATTTTGATCACTGAATATTGCGAATTATTGATGGAGTTCACTCCAGCAACTGCCATTATCTTTCTGAGGAAAATGACAGAGCATTCCATGATTATTTTTCTCATTTTTTCATACTGAATTTCTGAGGCCTTTAGAAACTTAAAAGTATTTTAGATAGAAAGTCCCATTTCCTTGAATGGCTGAGTCAGCAAACACATCTCTAGAGATTGTTAAATAATTGTTATAGCATATTATAATACATCAAAGCTAATTTTTCAACAAATGATTGACATATGTCTAAATGACCTTTAACATGCCATAAAAGGTTACATGGGGGAAATCCTTTAATTTCAAGGGCATATATATTGGCAATAAAAACAAAGTATATATTCTGGAAAAAAGAATATTACTTTAATATCACACTATGGTTTTTATAAAGGTCTACCTATTGAAGAGTTAACATGATTAATTCTACATATCACTTAAAGATTAATAAAAACAATATGTGAGGAGATTAATTTGAATAAAAAAGACCTCTAATCTTTCATTCCAGAAATAAACATTTTAACATTTATATTCTCTTCTAATCTTTTAAAAATCTACTACAAATTTTTGTC